TACTAGGAACAAGAAGCTACTAGGAGCAAGAGCATCGCTACTAGGAGCAAGGACGCTACTAGGGGCTCCTGCTAGGAACAAGAAGCTACAAGGAACCAAATCAATCCTACGAGGGGTTCTTCAAATAAGCTTCCTCCTGCCCTCAGGCGGGGAGAACCCTTTTAAAGAAGCCTGAGCTCTTCTGCATCCCTGTCTAGCAGCGCCTACTTCTGGTCGCTACCTAGCTAGCCCTTCCTACTAGACATAGCTACTTTCCTACGTACTTGTTAGCTACCTCCCCTCTCACTCCGGCCTCACCCCTAAAGAAAAAGATCAGGAACCAAGAGTCGCATACAGCTCCTGCAAGTCATCCCACTGGTGAATGGGGAAAAAGAGCCTGGTGACTTCAGCCTCGCGAGAGTTTGGATAAGAACAAGCATGCATATGCCATGTATGCAATGGAAACGTGCTGGGCAAAGGTGGCTGTAATCAGAATGAAAGTGCTACAAAATGAAACGAACTGCAAGAACCATTACTCAATCATGCTTGCGTTAGACCTGACTTGACGATATCAGTGTGGTTTCCCCGCTTTCAAGTGAACGTTCAAGGGCATTACGCCGCGGCACATTGGGGAAATGTTAGTGGTGTTGCTTTTGTCGGTGCTTTTGGGAGTCTTCACGCCAAGCTGGACCCAGTAGAGGTGAGCTGACCGTCATGTGGAACTGTTTGTTAGTCTTTGTGACTGACACTGTATAGATTCTACCCGCTGCTGAGAAAAGATCGAAGCCCAAGACCAAAATAAAAAAAGAGGAAAAAAGTGGAACCCACGAACCGGAATGCAAACACGCAATCGAAAACAAACAGCCAACCATTGGCTGACACTCTGGCAAGACACTCCTGTAGGACGCTCTTGTTGGACACTCTTGTAGGAGACACTCTTGTAGAACATTTTTGTGGGACACTCTCACGTGAGACTCTTATGGGACACTCTCCTGCGATGCTTTTGCGGAATGGAGAAAACATTGTTAGCAAGGAGAACCTAGCAGCAATGGCCTCAAAACCTGCTAGCGATGGCCAACACTTCCTAGCAATGGCGTCCAGCCTACTAGCGACGGCGTCCAACCTAAAAGCGATGCCCAAGAGCGATGGCCTGGAACCTAATAGCGATGGCCTCCAACCCAATAGCGATGGCCTCCAACACAATAGGGATGGCCTCCAACCTGACCTACTAGCGATGGCCTCGAACCTACTAGCAATGGCCTTCAGCCTAATAGCGATGGGCTCCAACCTGCCAGCGATGGCCTCCAATCTACTAGATATGATATGGCTTCCAACTTACTAGCCATGGCCTCCAACCTACTAGCAATGGCCTCCAACCTACTAGCGATGGCCACCAACCTACTAGCTATGGCCTCCAACCTACTAGCCATGGCTTTTCCTTGCATAAAGGCCCCTCCCTGGCACAGGTGGCGGGAGAGGGGCTGAGTGTCAGAGTCTGAAGACAGCCTAAGTGAAAAGTAAAAAGCGTGAAGGAGATGTCAGGGAGGAGCTCCAAGTAGACGACATTCAAGAAGTGTCGAGGGTGGATCGCATCCGACGGGCAATCCTTGAACCCTCCTTGAGCTTCTTTTGAAGTTTGTTCCATGAACCAGCTGGTGGCTGCCATTGAAACGGACAGGACACAGTCTGCAGTGACAGATCGATGGGAGGCCACCAGTTGTAAGCACAAGTTCGAAAGTTCTTTTGAAATGCCATGGCCTCCCACCTAATAGTGATGGCCTCCAACCCAATCGCGATGGCCTCCATCCAAATAGCGATGGCCTCGAACCTAATAGATGGCCTCCTCCAACCTCCTCCAACCTACTAGCCATGGCCTCCAACCTACTAGCGATGATTGCCTCCTCCAACCTACCAGCGATGGCCTCCAACCTACTAGCCATGGCCTCCAACCTACTATCATGGCCTCAACAACCTAGTAGCGATTTCCTCCAAACCTAATAGCGAGGCCTCCAACATACTGCCTCCCCCCAACCTAATAGCCATCGAATCCTCCAACCAACCTACTAGCGATGGCCTCCAACCTAGTAGCCATGGCCTCCAACCTACTAGCGATGGCCTCCTACCTACTAGCCATGGCCTCCAACCCAATAGCGATGGCCTCCAACCCACTAGCGATGGCCTTTAACCTAAAAGCGATGCCCTCCTCCAACCTACTGGCCATGACCTCCTCCAACTAGCGATGGCCTCCGAACTAGCCATGGCCTCCAACCTACTAGCGATGGCCTCCAACCTACTAGCCATTACCTCCAACCTAATAGCGATCGCCTCCAACCTACTATCATGGCCTCCAACCTACTAGCCATGGCCGATGGCCTCCTCCAACCTACTAGCCATGGCCTCCTCCGACCTACTAGCCATGGCCTCCAACCTACTAGCGGTGGCCTCCAACCTA